TACTTAGTAAAAATAAGAAAATTTCTTAATAAAGTTTATAGAATATGTTTTTAATAATATATTCTATATATAATATAAACCCTATATTATTAATATTTTATTAAATTATATTAATATTTATAAAAACTTTCTAAAAATCTAGGCAAATTTGCCTGGAAAACGGTTTAAGGGATAATATTACCTTCAAAGTAAACTATACTATTCGAATCTTTATTAGTTTATTAAAAGAGTAATTATCATAAATATAATGAAGTCAACGATTTTCATAATTTATAATTTCTTTGATTGCACATGTATTTTGATTCGGATTACCCCATCTTTAAGTGTCTGGCGAAAAAAAAAAGTTAATTGCTAGTGGTTCTTCTTCTCTACTGCAGAACAGAAGAATGAACTTAGCCCAAATTCTTTATGTATTTTTACAAATTCTAGAATATAATAAACTAAAATATGGATATATGGTATAATATCAGATGGTTAATATAAACCTTCTTCTACAATATCTTAATTAGGATTAGTAATATCAGACTGAAGAAAAGATACTTCCCATTCTTTAGCATCTAAAGCAAATTGGGTAAAATCAATATCTGGATTTTTAATCACGCAATATAATTGATCAAATTTGTTCTACAAAAGTCTAATTTTTTTAGCCCGATTAGCTGGTAAAATTGCAAACAAATCGAAATTTCATAGCATTTTAAGTTTATCCAACCCAAGGAGTGAAGTATATTTCTATTTAGTTGTTGTTTTCCAGAATTCAAATTTAACTTTGCACTTTTTCATTTCATTACAAATTGTTTCATATATATCATTATTATATTCTTCATTCTGTTCTAATTCAGAAATAATCAAAGACCATAATCGATCAGTTATTCTAAGCATAATATGAAGTTCATCTGGAACTCAGTGATTTAATGGAATCATTGGAAATAATGAAGCTCGAATGTGACCAGGATATGCTAAATAATTAGATGCAATTATATTCATATCTTTTTCAATTGTCCATGAGTGTTTTTTTAAATTGCCTAAGTCTGTTTTTTTGCATTGACACCAGGGACAAAAATTAATTGAATTTGCCATATTGATACCTAAACATAATGCTAAAAACTTCCAATCAGAAGAAAAATATAAATTGATTGACTAATTAATTCCATTTTTATCAACAAATCCAGATTGTTGTAATTCATTTAATTCATCAACAAGCGGCTGTGTTGCACTTTTTAATAGTTCATATTTCTCAATATCTGAATATATAACTATAGTATAGTGATTATCAGATAAATATAATTCTTTTTTTTGATCCAAAATAGCAAGAGTTATTATTACATGATTAATTTTTTTTCTGACATTATAGCCATCACCAGAGATCCGTAAATTAATAACAGGTTTTGAAGAATGAAGAATTTTGTTAGCTACTAAATAAGGATGCAAATATAAAAGTATATCTTTAATACTTTGTCGTGCAACTTTTTTAACTAATTGAAATTCTTCATTTAATAAAAGATTATCTTGACTATAAAGATTAAATGTTTCAATTAGTATATAATTAGCCATTTTTGATGTTAAAATTGTACGTTGATCAAAAACTGCATAATCACGAGGTAAATTAGGTTGTATAGCCGATAAAGCACGATATCTATCTCTTGATATTTGGTACTTATCAATTATTTGTACTATTGCTAACTCATATTTGTTTTTTTCTATAATATTCTGAGATCCAAATTTTACATAAAAAGGTGTATTTGCAACTGTATAAGATAATTCTTTAAGTGTAACTTGATCATTTGGATAATAATTTTTTTTTGCAATTTGATTAAAATCTTTTTTAATCTTTTTTGTAACAGTTCTTGCACAAGCCTTTTTAGTAGAAATACTTAGTTCATTAAACTGTTTTAAAGGTCTAATATAATTTGATTGTAGTTGATTTTTTTGAATTTGTTTAAGATGAAGACCAAAAAGTAAAGGACCTGATATTCGACTATTTTCTGACTTTCCTTTGAATTCATTTATGGCCTAATTATAATTATTAATATACTATAAATTTAATTTTATAAATATAGTATTATATATTTATAATAAAAATAACTAACCCTTTGAGTTTTTGTTGCTGCATCACTAGAAGAATGATTTGATATTATCTCTAATTCGAAGTTTGGCCCATAATTTATATAATAAACTAGACGATTATCTATATATTTAATGTGACCTTTAATAATATTTAAGTTTGGTGACTTTCCTCATGTTGTAATAATGTTAAAGTTATCTGAAATAGCATAATGTTTAGGTGCCCTTGTATATTTAAGACCTGATTTAGGAAAACATCTTTATTTTGTATTGAATACCAAAAAGTGTAAGATTTTGTTTTATGTATTATAGGATTATGATGATATTTTTCATGATCAGGTAAAAGTTTAGAAAGTTTAGTTGTAGACATTATTTGTGATTTTGACAAAAGGTTTATTACAACAAAAATATTGATTTTGGTATAACTAAGTAGAATTGAGACGTGATGTTCTAGGATATGTTTCAGGGGTATGCCCTTTTAAAAAATTTATATAATCACGCAAAACCAAAAAAAAATAAAAATTTTTTATTATTAAAAAAAATTTTCAAAATATGCTTATATAAAACGTCTTTAAATCAAAAAAAAAAAAAAAAAAAAAAAAAAAAAACAGTTAAATTTTTTTAGATAATAATAATAGCAAACTATTTTAGATATGTACATATATGTGAACTATATATATATATGTTGTACGTATATCAAAATCAAATTTTTAGTAATTATAAACCGTCAAATCATTCCATACTGTAATTTTTAAAATGCCGAGTTACAAAAATATTTGAAATCTTACTAAAGCAAATCTTTTAATCGACGTTGTAAGAATTATTGCTTTACACAATAGAATTACTACTTCTAGCAGAACCTAATATAATTATATTATTACCTTTAAATTCATTCAAGTGGCCTTACTTACTTAAAGCCTGCTGTAACTGTTACTTTTAGCAAATTTTAATTATTATTTCCGTGTCCTATTTTCTGCCTTACTACTTCTAGTAGTATTTGTATCTTTAGTCAATTTAAATGTTCAAGTACACTTAGTTATACCTATATTATTTATAGAATCACTACTTTTAACTGACTCTGTTATTTTGGTTTTTGTACCTATTCGAATCACTAGAATTATTGCATCTCCTGGTAGCTACTTTTAATGAAACTTAACAGAATTTAGTTTACTAAATTATTATTTCTGTATTAAATATATGTATATTATTTATATCCATATGGTCACAAAATTTGTTTTTAACCATTCAAATCAATAATGTGATATTTGTAAAAAATAAACATTTATATCAGATATATCGTGAAAAAATTTATCGAATTATTTATTGTAAAGCTTTATTTCATTATATATTTAAACAGTAATTCTATTATTATTAAATTAAACAATGTATTTGATCTAAACCAATCTATATTAACTTATTCAGAAAATTAGCTATCCCCTTAGCTTTTAAAAATAAAATGAAAGAAAATGAAGTATTGAAGTACACAAAATAAACAATGTATTATGTAAATATAACTAACCTTTCTTCAAGTCTTAGCAAATTTTTCAGTAAAATGATGATTTTTCTGGACTACATAGTATCAAACTGATACCTTCATTATGCGCACAAGCTGTGCAACCACTTTTATGGATATATATCTACAACAAGCATAGTAAAAGTATTAGACAAATAATAAGTCACCCTGAATAAACTGATAAGAACAAGAACGTGGTAATTGATAATGTATCATATGCTCAACGAGTGGAATATCTAGCCCTCGAGCTACCACGTTACTAGCAACCATTACTGCGTTCAGATTCTGCTTGAATCTAGTAAATTATTAGTGAATAAATATTGGTGACTTGAATTATTTAAATTATAAATAACATATTTATCTTACTGATTCAAATTTTTTAATCTTTGTCTTTGCTATATCTGAGCGTGAAGGCCAAAAACTTCTATATTAAGTAATCTCATTATCAGAATCAATTGACGAATCATATCAATACTATTTACAAACACAAGCATTCTACTGAGATATTGTGTAATGAAATAATACATATACAAATCCTAAGTAATTACAAATAGTTTAATATAGTTCCGATATCTATGTAACGCGTTAAGAAAATTATAAATTTTCTCTCTAACTAAGCAATCAATTTTAGATTCTTGTAGAGTTTCCACAATAGAACCTTTTGAAGTAATATCTATGAATAATGAATTAGAATCTCTGAATTCTAGTCAATTTATCAGTTCAGCTATTTTGGGATATAAGAGTATAGAAAGTTTAAAGTTTTAGTAAAATAGTGATATTACAAAAAGATAAATAAAATTAATTACCAATTGTTCCTTGTGAATTCAAAGTCCTATCAACTGCCACAAATATACTTGCATAAATTTTTATACACGTCAACGTAAAGAATGTCATCATTAAGAAAAGCCATCTACCTCTAATATGTATAAAAGAGACCCTTCAACATCGTCCATTTACCAGTAATCACATATCTTTTTTTCGACCAAACTTCTTCTTACCCTAAGCTCTGGCTTGAAATTTATCTTATCTAATAGCTAGTTGATTCTGGCAGCTTGCTTTCTGATCTAACAGTCATCTAACACAATACCACTTGCTAATTTTCTGATAGAATAACATTATTTCACTTCATATTATTTACAATGCTAATATAATCTATAAATTAATGCTTTAGTTAGATTTATTTCTGCTCTTTTGCCAGTTAGCATCTCAATAATATGAGAGACGCGCTTATGCCTTTTGACATCTTATAAAATCCTTATGAACTACTTTGTTTTCACAAAAAGAGTATCCAAATTAGCAATATTGGGACATCCCAAATTACGTGATGAATTAATAGCACATTAGGTATTTACTGTGTTATTTCTGAAACTGTATAATACATTGTGATAATTTGGGCAGCATCATTAGTCCAAGTTCAGATCTAACAATAAAGAATTTGAATTATAGATTTGTCGTCTTATGTATAGATATTCTTTTCTCCATTGTTGACATTCTTCGGTGAGATGCGCTTTACAAATTCCAGATATTTTTTGTACAGCATCTTTTGCTCCTATATAGTTAGTGGAATAATTCACAGAATTCTCTAAAATTGTCTAAAAAGTTATGAGGTGTTGTAAAATTCTAAGTAATACTTATTTCTATTCAAACGATGACACATAATTCTATTGGTTAATCAGGGTGTCAAACAACTAACAGTTGTTATCAAATTATTGACTGTTTATCAAATACACCCTATAATTTTTGGGGTACAAACAAAATCAGCTGATATGGTTTTTTTGATTATTATTCTTTTGTAATTAAATAGTTTTTTATATTCTCTTGTAGTTATTAAGGGTAGAGGATACGTAAATCATTTTTATATAGTAATATATGGTATTTTGAAATTTTTTTATTATTATTAAGGCCACTTCCTTGGCTGATTAGATTTTATTAGTTTGTTATTACAGAACTATCACATGAACAGTTTCCTAA